CAGGAGGAACTATGCACCATTGGATGATCTCATCAGGGCTATAGACTGGGCCATATCATGTGCCCACTACTAAATAAGCAACAACAAAATCCATGAATGTGGTGGAAGTACTTGCAAAGAAGACAATTTATAGTAAATTATATCCTGAATGTTGAAATGCAATATTTAAATGTAATACATTTCATAAAGTAATTAAATTAATTAATGTTTGCAACATGAACAGTTCAGCAATACTGACATGATTTTGCAAATCTTTGGTAGAGAATTTCCATTTTTACCAAAACATAATTTTGACAAACATTTCACCCATCTCTATTCATTGCTATTTTGTGGCCAAAGGCTTTCCAACATCCTTTTGATTCTATGGTTGGATTACAGTAATCTGGGGCTATGGACACACCTTGACATAAACCCTGTATTACTCTACCCTCAGGGCCCCACCCCTATTTGACATAGTGATGGCATGGGGTTCCCATCTGCTTCAGAAGAGACAGCAGAAACAGAATGAGGCTACCTTCTCCTAAGAATAGCTTGGTTTACTCCCACCCCAGCCCTGGAAATCAGCATAGATTTTGTCTACCTCATACCTAGAAAAGCAGACATGGCAACTAGAGCATCTCCTCCTTCCCCTCCCCCAGCACTTACTATAAAAACTGGGTATACCTGCTTGTGTGTGTATGATTAGTCATTTCCTTCCCCAGAGAGCAGATGATCATAGAATCATAGAATACTAGGACTGGAAGAGACTTTGGGAGGTCATTGAGTCCAGTCCCCTGCCCCCATGGCAGGACCCAGTACTGTCTAGACCAACCCTGATAGACGTTTATCTAACCTACTCTTAAATATCTCCAGAGATGGGGATTCCACAAGCTCCCTGGGCAATTTATTCCAGTGTTTAACTACCCTGACAGTTAGGAACTTTTTCCTAATATCCAACCTAAACCTCCCTTGCTGCAGTTTAAGCCCATTGCTTCTTGTTCTATCCTCAGAGGCCAAGATGAACAAGTTTTCTCCCTCCTCCTTATGACACCCTTTTAGATAACTGAAAACAGCTATCATGTCCCCCCCTCAGTCTTCTCTTTTCTAAACTAAACAAGACCAATTCTTTCAGTCTTCCTTCATAGGTCATGTTCTCTAGACCTTTAATCATTCTTGTTGTTCTTCTCTGGACCCTCTCCAATTTCTCCATATCTTTCTTGAAATGATGCTGGAATTAATATCCCATTGTGATGAATAGAGTTTGTCTTACCTCTTTCAACCTTTCTGCAAACTCAGACATCTCTGCTTTGCTTACATTCCGTTCTCCCCCTTCCCAAGGTCATGACTTTTTTTTCTTTTTTATCAGAAGGGGGTCACAGTACAATGAAGTTTGAAGTTCATTTCCCCTTCCACTCCTATTCCCTGAATTTCTTTACAGAAGGTGTTTTCTGTGAAATTATTTCAACATTTGACATAAGACTAAGCACTTCATAGCAGCCTAAACGGAGTGTCATACATAAGTTCATGGGACTAGTTCCATGAATCAGTCCTTTGGGCTTTCAAAATACATGGATTACCGAGCTATATATTACTTTCTCTCTCCCCAGTCACTATGTGCTTTTGTGACCTCCGTCTCCTGCATCTTTAATGCCCCCAATAACTGGGTTGCTGTGATTTCTCTCCCCTCCCCGATTACTCCAGATGCTCAGAAGCATTCTGATCTCACTTGTCTGCTTAAGTCTTGCCAGGCCTAGTGAGCAATTCTTGTACTGAAAAAATAGTCTTTCTAGGGCCCCTATTGTTTTATTGGTGTTTTGAAGGAAAAAATGAAAAGAAAATTGTAATGTAACTGGCCAATTGTGCAATATCATACCCAGGTGATGATTTTTTTTTTCTGATTGTAGCTGGTGATTATCATCCCTGGGGCATGATGAACTTAAATTAGCTAACATAAAAAATGTTAACTGCAAAACACTGTTTTTGTTTATATAAGGGTTTAATGATTTTATAAATCTTAGTAAGCTTTTGGCCTCTGTCTTGCGGAAATGAATTCCATAGCACTTTAAAATATTTCCACTGTTGGCTTTAAAAATGTATTTTTTTAAATTTAGTTTTGTTGGAGAATATATCAGTGGCCTTCTTAAAACAATACCTCTAAACTATCACCTCCTTTTCCAAAAAGATGAGTTTTTTAAAACCTTGCCTCCTGTTGAAAAACCATTCTAACCTCAAGACTTTAATCATTATTTTTGTCTTCTTTAGGACCTTTCATATATCTGTTTTTTTCTTTACAAGTTATAAAAATGAGCAGTGTATTTAATGTGAAGAATAATTCCTTTATATTGACATTTTCTGTTCTGTGACCAGTAGAATCTAAAATTGGAGTTGTATCATGACGGGCCTAATTCTACATCTTATGCAACTGAAACATTTATACCAGGATATACAGCTATATACCACACAAATCCTTTGACTTAAAAAACTTGTCTTTTATTCTGTTGCTGGAATACAGAAGTTTGAATTACATCAGTAAAGTGTAGGGGCTTCTACCATTTCTTCCAAAAGACTGTTCACAAGCTTATGGCCAGTCCCTAAAATCATTTCCCCAGAGTTTTCAACTTGTATTTTCTAACTGTGTCCAGTTCTGGGCGCCACATTTCAAGAAAGATGTGGAGAAATTGGAAAGGGTACAGAGAAGAGCGACAAGAATGATTAAAGGTTTAGAGAACATGACCTATGAAGCCAGGCTTCATGAACTGGGCTTGTTTAGTTTGGAAAAATGAAGATTAAGGGGGGACATGATAGCGGTTTTCAAATATCTAAAAGGGTGTCACAAGGAGGAAGGAGAAAATTTGTTCCTCTTGGTTTCTGAGGACAGGACAAGGAGTAATGGGCTTAAAGTGCAGCAGGGGAGGTTTAGATTGGACATTAGGAAAAAATTCCTAACTGTCAGGGTGGTCAAATATTGGAATAAATTGCCAGGGGAGGTGGTGGAATCTCCCTCTCTGGAGATATTTAAGAACAGGTTAGATAGACATATGTCAGGGATGGTGTAGACGGAGCTTGGTCCTGCCTTGAGGGCGGGGGGCTGGACTCGATGACCTCTTGAGGTCCCTTCCAGTCCTATGATTCTATGATTCTATGATTGCTCAGGTTTTAATCAATAATTTAAAAGGGATCACTCTAATATCTTTCAAATATTTGCAGGTGATTAGACCTTATAACTTCGTACTGTACTAGTACCTGAAAGCCGATGATGTCACCTGGGTGTGGCAGTTGAGCCAAGTAATCCACTATCTGTACAGCCTTCTTCCAATGATATTGTTGAATGCAAATTAACTGTAGAGTCAGGATGGTGATTGGTTGAGTTACCTCTGATATCAAAATACAGTAGGACTTTTGGCATGGGATATCTATTGTGTTTACTAAAACTGTACACTATATAGTGTAATTGTTAAAGGCAAAATGTCTGAAACTTAAAAATGAATAGTACCAGGCTGCAAATCCCAGTGATGATTGAACCCACTGAGCTTTCAACTATGCTTGTACCTTTTTCCTTTGCTTCATCTTGACTCAGGAGACATTCTGAGTATCAGACAAAGGGACACATCCTGGAATCTTATTAAAGAGATAAATATTTTAATCCTTTATTATACATCAGTGGCTTTAACCCCATCTATACTTGTGCTACTGCAGTTTAAGGGCTGTAATACAGCCACACATTGGTACTGAAGCTGCTCTGTTATGTCTTCTTGCTATTTCTCCCTGCATGTCTATAGCTGTTTGCTTGGTACTTGCCTCAAACTTTCAAATGTACAATTGTACTTATTATTAGTGATGTTGCAAACACAGTTGGAATTTTAGATTCCAATCTGAATGTATAATAATAATAATAATAATAAAAATCTTACACTGAGAAATGGTGCTGATTTACTTTATAGTGATTCACAAAGAATAATACATTCTATCAGGTAGTATGCAAAGTTTATTTATATGTAAGGTTTTTTGAATTATTTTGAAGTCCTCTCTAATTGGTGATTTCTTTCTGGCATGAAGGTTCCCAAAGCTATGCCAAGGCACTGTTATATCAGCAGTTTAGAGTGACTATTTCTGATCCCACGATGTGATGATTCTGTATAGTGCACCTGCTCCACCCTGTATGTTGTCCACATTTGTTCATGTTTGAATCCAGATTCAACCCCAAGACATGAGTAAAAGATAAGTGTCTAGAGGAACAAAATCATATTGACTAAACTTTTATTATTTTGTTGGTAATGAGGCTGAAACATACCACACAAAACTAGCATTTAATGTTCAGTCCAGGCTATCCCAGGAAACCTGCACCTAATTTGTCCCTTATATACCATAGATTTTCTAGGGCCACAGCTGTCTATAGGAAAGCTTCCAGTACAGTCAAGATCAGAGACTAAACACTCCATTCCTTATCCTCTTATGCGGAGTGAAGATGGTGTTCTCTCATTTCACAAAGCATTTCAAAATAGCATGCCTAGAACAGACATATAGTGCTATGTTATTTGCTTGATATAGTAGTTTGATCAGCTTCATAAAATGAGAAGTACAGTGAAACCTTTGTTATCTGGCACTCTGTTAATCAGCATTGACCCCAACCACAGTACTGTCACATCTTCAGGTGCACAGGCCTGGCTTGGTTTACCATGTTTGGCTTAATGTTTTATTTAAGACGTACTAATCATCTTTAACTCAAAATAGAAATGTGAAACCAACTGCTTCACACTACACAACTACCAATATTAAAAACTTGAGTTTTACTATTATTGTTCAATGGTTTTTCCTAGGTCAATGGGACCCTCAGATAATCAGAATTTTTAGATAACCGGCACGCCCTAATCCCCAAGCATGCCAGATAACACAGTAGTACAAAACCTGAAATATCCTTACAGACAAGTTATCGTGTTGTAACTTTCTCACAATAAGACAAGTAGTGACATAAGCCTTGTCTATAGTGGGGAAATATTATAGAAATTTCTCACCATTACTATCACCATTCAGCTCCATAGGAGGTAGAGAAGTAGAAAGGATGATCTCATGGGGTCATCATCTTGCACGAGCATTATAAGCTTCATACCATCCAACCCTGATTAAAACAGAATCAAAATAGTACTCAAAGTTCTGGCAGCCCATCTATTCCAAGGTTTCTGCTGTTGCTAACACTATGGGAGATAATTCAGCATTAGCAAGATTTGGATGCTTTTAGCTTTGTAGATAAAGCCATAAAGTGATTGTGTATTCATTTTTAATCTGACTCAAAAAGGACTACAAATTATTAAAAAAATGTCTTTTATACTGTTTTCCATTGTCATATGTTGAATTATTACAAGCCATCTTAAAGCCTCAAGATCTTCATTTCTGATGACTTTGTCAACTGTTTATCAATTATTTTTGATAGACATACTAGACCAACAGTAAAATTTACCCAACTAGAGTTGTCTTCCACTTAATTCACTGAAGATTTTTCAAAATTGCTCATAGTTATAATTTTAAATATCCACATTTCCTACCAAATTAACTTTCACCAACACTGTAGTATAATAGTAATGGATTAGTTGCTTATCACTAAAAAATAAATTCACTCTTATCCTCAGTTCCATGGGTATTTTATGCATTAATGGCTGACAGCTGAAATGTTTCAGTCTATGTGCTGTGAAATGTTATTGCTAGGGATGACTGAAGTAAAAAAGCTCTTTTTTGACCCTTGTTTGAGAAACTAATTGCAGTAGAAATATACTAATTTAATCAAAGACAGCTATAATTGGAGAAATACTAGTTTTCTCACTCCTTTAAAATCAGATATCAAAGGTATCTGGGATGGCATCTGAACTTTCTGCTGCAGATGAGTTGCATGCAATTCAAACAATGCAATTTTAGAGCTCTATTGATGATATATTCTTTAAACTCAGCTTGTATATTGGGGGCTTTTAATCTCTTCAGTGCAGAAAAGATTGATCAAATACTAAACATCTAGTAGTTATTCCTGCAATGTAGTCCAACCTATTGATACCTGGTACTTGCCACATGCTTGCCTGGCTTTGAGTCAAATGCTTCTAATCATGTTTTATCTCACAAAAATACACTTCTTAATTTTAATTATTTTACTTAGTGGTACAACAAAAAGGAAGTTAAACAGTGTCTTGGGGGAAATGGTAACAGTTAAATGATTTACAAGAACTAGGCAAAATTTCATATAGTTTAACTAAAGTCTACATACAGCATTACCCAGATTTATATCAATGTAATTGAGATTTGAATCCAGTAAACCCTTGGAAATGTAAAGATGAAGGGTAAAATATTCAAAAGTGATTCAATGATTAGAACACTAAATCTCATTGGCTTTCAATGAGAGTTAGGCGACTTTCTCACTTAAGTGTCTAGTGGGATGTATAAAAGTGCTTATCTGCATCTTTAGCCAGCCAAATACTTTGAAAAATTGGCCCTAAGTGTCTGTTAGTTTTTAAAATGGAATTTTGGTTCTTAAGTCCCTTAAAAGATTTAGAAAATGTTATCCAAATTTACTGAAAATGAAGTTAGGAGCTACATGTATCACACATTTTCTCAATTTCTTTTGTTCGTATTTTTATAAACATAGCGGCATATGAGGTTTAAGTAGAGTAGAAATATGTTACACTTACTACGAGGCTATGTAGACATGTATCAGAAATGTCTACCAGAGACAATCTGTTTATTTAAATGAAAGTCAGGATAGTATGTGTTTCATAACTCATCAGGTAAAAGAAAAGAATCAATCCATCCACAGCAAATTATTATTTGACACTGAGAAACCATCTGTTAATGTTAGCAGAGCAAAAATGGGAATGCAAATCCATCATTCACCTCAGAATAAAAGAGAACCTTGTTGAAGAATAGAGATCAAGACACTTTTCCCTGTATTTTTTTTCCACAATAGATTGTTAAATTGAAAAAAAAATTCCATTAATATTTAAAAATCAAGCTAACTACAAGGGTTAGAGTTATCCAAAGGGCATTCCTACTTGGCTTACTATGCACCTTCTTCATGCCCTCATGCATACTGGAAAAGTTGTATTGTTTAATGAAGAGTTAAGAATATATTCAATAGAACAGTGAAAATTCTGTTTGGTTGAAGGAACTATTAAATGCACAGTTCTGATACTTACCTAGATAGGAGAAAAATTGAAAATTTGGAAGAATGTAAATAAAAGCTCTTTTGCAGTATTCAGTCAGCTAAATGAGGCTTTAGGGCATGAATTTCACACTGGTGTTGCTAGCTCAGATGCTCCTCTTTTTTTCTATGTCTTCCTTCCAGCAGTCACTACTCTTTTACAAGTCTTTTCCTTTTGAGTGAATTCAGCACAGTTGGTGACATAGGTCCAGAAATAAGAAAAACCTGGAGAAAGTTGGAAAATAGAAAAACCTATTACACCATGCTAAAAATAAAAGTTTCCTAAAGTCTTCAGCCTTTTGCTCAAATAAACTGGTCTAATACTTGTTGAAACTTAATGGGAGTCATTCAGTCATTGGCTCTCCTGAAAGTGAATACATGCCCAATCTAGCCAGTAGCAGAACCTATAACTTCTCTTCCTGTGTTGTACCCTAGGCCCTGGAGAATGTATACTTTCTAGGGGGAGATTTTCAAAGCCATACTGGATTAGGTACCCAACTTCAATCGAAAGTTCATGGAAGTTGGGCATGAAAATCCTCATTCCAGCGAACATCCCCTAACTCTTAACAATAGTCAGAAAATATCTGATCACACCTCTATTGATTTGTATTAACTATATTGGGCATTATCTTGCTCCTGACCACAATTGAGGAAATCATCTTTGTGACAGTATACTGTATTTATCTGAACTCTGTTACAGAGACCATGTAATAAAGTCATAAGTATAGAATGAAGGATTGCAGCTGCTTTGTAAATCCAGCCCACAGGATACAATTGAGCAAACATTTCCTTTGTTTGTTTGCCACCAAATTAATTATTCATTATACATGATGCAAAACCCTCAGGTGTTTTCCCCAGGTGTTTGGATTTGCTTTCATGCAGAACAGATTTATCCCCATTAGCCAATCAAAACTGTTTTTAAAAAGTACAGTGGTACGACTTAATTTGTTTTCTTTAAATATTTCCATTTATTTATTTTTTATAACATTCTTAACTTTGCTTGCTATAATATTATAATCTATTCTATATTAAATTCAGGTGGCTTCTGCTGGTACAGACTTAATAAATCGGTATGAAATATTCACTCTAAATTCCTCAAGTAAATTCAGATGGAATATTATTTGTCTTGCTTTCTTTTCTCTCCCAGGCAATGGCAAATGTTTATTTATCCAGCTTCTGATATGTTTTTTTCCTCCACCATTGCTCAAAGTGATTCCCGCAGTGATAAGTGGCCAATGACCCCAGTGCAAGGTGAACTACAGTAGTCTCTCAGTGCTACCCATTATTCATCTCAGTGGTAGAACAACTGCAACGACATAGTGACATTTTACTAAAAGCTCAGCTTTCTCCCACTAGGTTATTATGCAGGTGGAACGGGATGTTTTCTGAAAGACCACCACCACTTCTTGTTCTCCCTCTGAAAGGTCACTTTTTATGGTTATTTTTTCTTACTTTGTTGAAAAACAAAGTGAAAAACAAAGAGGTTTCTTAGTAGGAAAAGACACTCAGAAACTGTAAAATAGATATCCATAAAAGAAATATTAGTTGTTTTATAGTTCTGAAGGCAAATTATTTTCTGAATATAGGTCTTTAGGTTCTGGGGATTTTTTTGTTCGGGTTTTTATTCTTGGTATTTACTGTTTGCAGTGAAAATTCAATTGTCAAATTTAAGTAGACTAAATGTAGACTTTTCCCACATTCTGTAAAGTCATTGCATTATTTGACAGAACATTGCCATTAAAAACCCTGTATAATAAAGAAGATGAAGATAAACTATGTGAATATCTTTATTTATGGTTAGGACAGGGGAGCTGGTTTATGGTTTTCTGACCTACTGGGCTTTTGCTGCTTTGGAATATTTACAAAGCAACTCTGAAATGTGCCATGCACTCTCATGCACACCAGGAAAAACCCATAGGGAGATAAGATTGAGGAAAAAAAGGGTAGGAAACATTACAGGGTTGCTGTAATTATCCGCAAACCAAGCATAAAAAGGAAATTCAGAATTAAAAATCACCTCAAAAGAAATCCAGATGGCAACCAAACAGTTTCAACTCTGACTTGTAATGATGCCATGAAATAACCTTTTGATTATAATTAAGGCCTTTGCAGTCTCAGATTAGTTTAAGTTGATTTTAAATACACATCAAGTTTATGTCTATCTCTATCTCTCTTTATCCACCTGAAAGAGAAAAGCATTGGGGCACACAGGACTGCTTCTGAAGTCTATGAAAGTCCTTGCATTGATTTATGCCTTAGGTCCCTTCCAAACTATGTCCTAATTGGTTATGGTGCACAAGAAAGAATGGCCCTAGCTTGACTTTCAGATCTCAGTCTAGTTGCCTCAACTAGACATTTTTATAACAAAATATCAGAATCTCTTCCTAATTTGCCCCGATGTGTCACCGATTTGGGGTGGGGGGAGGAGTGTTCATCTGTTTATAAGAATGAAGCAGATTGTAGCTTTTAAAACTAGAAACACTAAGCATAGAGTTGCTTAGCCTTGAGATAACATTTCAGAATGCTCAGATGGACTGATGTTGCGAGGTTGTGTCACATTGCCCATTTAAAATAATCATGCCAAGAGCAAATGCATAACGCTCTGTTACTTGACTGATTGCTTCCCCACCATTTTACGTAACTACCCATAGAATAGTAATAAAGAACGTGAAAACTCCTTAAAGGCAAAACAATGTGATAACTTCATGTATAGATCTATGGTAAGCTAATAGTGATATAGCCAATTTAAATAATGCTGAAAAAAGAATATTCAATTATTTTGGAGCTGGATATTTCTATGCTGTCAACTAAAGCATGAAGGAAACAGTCTTTTATGTTAATTTCCTTGAGATTAAGCTACTGCAAACCAACGATAATCCTCATCTGACAATTACAATTATAGCCGCTGCAAATAACCTGCAGAACAGCTACTAGATCCTCATCTAAATTCCATCTTTACAAAATTCTTTTCCCCTTTAGTCCTGTAGGGGTGAGTGCTGATAGTTTGTTTTAGAAAAAAATGTCACACTAGCAGGATAACTCTTATTGTCACAGAAGTTTCATAGAATAGCTGTTTTCTACTCCAGACAGGTCTACTTCTACCTTCATTTATCCATAGGTTTTTATGTATTACTGGCTGACAGATTGACCTTTTCACAGATTGCATGCTGTGAAGTTGCCACTAGGGACAGCTGAAATGGGGAGGGAATAAAAGTTAATTTTGTAGCTCTTACTTTAATAAAGAATTGGAAGATGAGGAGGTTCCAATTAGGCCAGACTAAGTAACAGAATGGTGTATTATTAGGTACCCGAAATGAAGAAAACATTATTTACCCTCCTCTTTTTTTTGAGCAGGGGTTAGTTAGTGACAAGTTTTGAAACAGGCTTCTGAAGTGATATCTGCAGTTCACTGCTGCTCTTTCTAAGTAGTTTTCAAAATTGCAAAAATGGCATTACAAATCTTTTAAAGATATTCTCTTAAACCTGAAACTGCAATACCAAGGTTTGTTATATGGACCTCTCTCTACTCCCAGTATTTTTTTTTAACTATTGCGATTCTGTTTTCCTTTTTCCAGCCAGCTACTTCAGATATAACTTAAAATTTCCACCGGGTTTTTTTTTTTTTATATTTTGAATCATAGATGTGCTTTTAGACCAGACCTTTATCTATATTAATTTGCCCAATAAATTTGCAGCTGTTAGTTTTGATATCAAGGAACATTCTATCTTGTCAGATGTCCTGTGAAGGGAATATGCATTTTTACGCAGTCACCAGGCATATTCCTTACTAGAAGGTCACATAGTGAAATCTGCAGCTAAGCAAGGATTTGAACTAAAGTCTCTTGAGTGCCAGCTCAGTGCCCTGTGTCCTAGACCTCCTTCCTGCTAGCAAAAGACAAAGAGTGAGATCCACTTCATTTTTATAAACACAATCACTGACCAAATAGGGACTGGGGCATTTGCCTCTAAAAATGAGGATTGTCTTTAGAGGTGAATAATTTGGTGGTGTTAAATTTGGGAGTGGCTGACACCGAAAAACTCCAGTGACTACCAAAGAAGAACATTACTTTTCTGAATATAATTAAGCACATTATTTCAATTCTTTTTGGGATAGCGCTACATAAGAGGCATGGTATCTTTGCCATAGTTTGTAGACTGAGTATTATTGGCACAATCAGAAATTGCTGCTTTTCCTGTGAATTATGTTATCCACTGTAATTCCCTGGATATTCCTTGTATCTGAAGGCATGTAAAATATTTGAAGGACTAGACAATCCTTCTACTCTTTTGTTGAAGACAGGTCTTGTAAGGCATTGTATATTCTCATAATATATTTGTGTATATATTCTCTTTATATTAAACTACATAGACTGCCAAAAATATCACTGCAGTCTTGCTCCCACTAAAGTCCATAAAACAGAAGAATTCCATTTATATGTACCAATAGCACTTTGTGTTCAAAGTACTAATAATTGCAACAGTTGATTATGAAATTACTTTCTATGAAAATGTTAGCAAATGTCATTATTTTCATTAGCGACGAGGAGTCCTGTGGCACCTTATAGACTAACTGAAGTGTAGGAGCATAAGCTTTCGTGGGCAAAGACCCACTTCGTCAGCTGCATGTAGTGGAAATTTCCAGAGGCAGGAATAAATATGCAGGCCAGGATCAGGCTGGAGATGAGGAGGTGGATCCAATCAAGGAGGATGAGACCCACTTCTAGCAGCTGATCTGGAGGTGTGAATTCCAAGAGAGCAGAAGCTGCTTTTGTAGTTAGCAAGCCATTCACAGTCTTTGTTTAATCCAGAGTTGATTGTGTCAAACTTAAAGATGAACTGTAGCTCAGCAGTTTCTCTTTGAAGTCTGGTCCTGAAGTTTTTTTGCTGCAGGATGGCTACTTTTAGATCTGCAATTGTGTGTCCAGGAAGATTTTTCATTGTAATTTTTAAAAATAATATTTGGCTTTTCACTGAAAATTTTTTAAAAATCAGTACACAGCAAGCAAGCAAAATACCAATAATTCTTTTTTACAGCAGAAAATATGTTGATAATACCACAAGTGTTCAGATTGCTTTACCTAATGACTAGAAGATAGCTAACATGACACCAATACAGGGGTAGAATAAATGGTAAGTTTTCAGAGTGGAGAGAGGTAATTAGTGCAATCCCTCAAGGGTTTGTTCTGAGACCAATCCTATTCAACTTATTTAGCAATGATCTAGAG